GGTCCAAAACCTTGGGGATACGAGCGCTCTTGATCGGACGACATTGGTTGGTCAACCGCGGCTTTTTCAGCCGTAAAATGCTTCTTGAATTGTCCTCGATATTTTGCAGTAGACCGAGTTATGAGTTTGACATCTCTGCTTCCATTTTACTTATTCCCTCTTGTGTTTCCCTATGTTCTTGTTCAATTCAGGCTAGTATCTCTTCTATTTTCTTGGTAGACTTACGAGTACCGTAGGGGTGTGAGGTGCATGTCATTATCACTACAAATGATCATAAATTGTATTTTATTATTTGGTGTCTTATTAAATGAATGAATTGTTTTAATGCAAACATTAAGATTTAAACATTAGGAAAAAAATAGAAAATGAAAATGATATTGATTCCAAAATAACTTAGTTCATACAAAAGTTCTCAATAATACACAATGCCTAATTACTTAGGCAAAGAGAGTACATCCACATGGAACTAAATATAATATCTAGCCATATCCCCTAATTTCTCGAGCACTATCATTAACTCTATGATGCGTCGCTCTTCCTCTGATTACGGGATCACGAAAACTCTCAAGGATGTTGCTTCTTTAGACAACTAATAGACTTGACGAGCAACACCATTAGCCTGATCCATTGCCTTCTCCATCGCTTCATGCTAACTCTGAATGGTTTCATTTCATTTTTATCCCAGCTAGCCCAAATTCTTGATAACTTGGACCAATGCGCCTGCTTGACACTAACAATCACCTTCTCTGGAAAAACTAACTCTTCGGTAGTGGTAATACTGTCGCCAAACTGTGTCTTCCAATACTCGGACCAGGTCTGAACATTTATCACGTTCTCAGCCCTATCGGAAGACATTGCTGCCTTATGTTCTTTTTTTACAGTAACTAGGTAATCCGGGAATCAATACCTTCTATGCAATGATATGACATGAAAATGAAAATGACTTATACAATCAAGAAACAAAGAGACAAGTTAGTAACATTAGATTAATTCATAAAAATCAAAGAATAATTAGCAAAAATTTAAAGAATCGGATGTAAGCACACCAAAGAAAATTAAAATCCTAACGGTATGCACTCTAGTTCTCCTAGGTTATCCACATGGCTCTAGCGGGGTAGGTTTACTAAATTTTGTACATGTAGCTAGGTTATAGCAAAGGTTCCCGAGCAATTTTTACAACCTGCTAAAGTTGACTCTGATTCTGGTCTAATACAAACTTGCAAATCGGGTTCAGCTCAGGGGATCACACCACTAAAAGTGTACCTCGGATCTGATATCCGGATAGGCAACTTAGGGTGCTTTCTATAGATACTTTATCATACCCACACAAGGAACCCCAATGCTCCTCATGAGGTGTGATGTTTCTCCCTACTTAGGTAAACCAAGATTAAGCTCGGGTTCTAAGATATGCAACAATCCTAAATAATTTCATAGTGTAAGCATTAACCAGATAGATTACCCTTTTTTGAAAAAAACATAATGAACTGTAAATTAAATAAGATCAAACTCGTAATTTCCAAAAAAAAAATATAGGGTAATCAACTTGTGGCTTGACTCTCAAGTTGTTTAAAAACAAAAATCCCTAGTGGAGTCGCCAAGTTGTCGACACCATTTTTGCCTGGGAGGGGAAGGACTAATACCGACTCGGGATCTTTTCTTTGAAAAGAATTTTCGTAATGTGAGAAGTCGTCGCCAATCATTTAAGGTGCGATTAGGACACCATAAAAGCCGGGTGATTTTAATAAAATATTTTATTTTTATCAAAATACCAAATTTTAAGGTCTGCAAAAATCCAGAAATCAGGTTTGGGAGTCATTTACGCGTGGGGAAAGATTAGCACCCCACAAGCGCCCAAAAATTAGTTCGTAGTTGATAACACTATATTTAAAATAAAAAATTTTGAGTTCTACCTTTATTTAATTTGAAAATCATTACGGATGCAAAGTTTAAAAAATGAATTCGTTTATTAAGGCCGGTAGCATTCACCCCCTAGCATAAACATGGGAGATCAACTATTGTGCTTGATAACCAAATATTGCCTCAATTTTATAAAATCATGATGTTATTTTTGAAAACGATGTCAACCTATTTCGGGAGTCACCAGTAGTCACCTCCTGAGCGTAATTGCGGGAGATATACCATTAATTCCCTAATAAGTGAACATTGCCTTAGGTTTAAAAATAAAATGCAATCAAACAAATTTTATTTATCCTAATTAAGCTAAGGATGAATTAAGTCTGCTTAAAGTGTCAAATTATGAAAATTAAGGAACCTAGAAGCTCAAGCCTAAAAATATAGGTTCTAATATTAACCCTGCTTGATTTTAAAATCAGTTATTGAATGGAATAACCGAGATGGTCCCTCAAGCATTTATGCGAGGCCAGACTCGAATTATTCTCTAAATTAAGAGGACTATATTGCAATCTAGCTAAAAATGGAGGTTTTATTTAACCTATTTAATTATGTCAATATTAAAGCTCTAATCGAAGTTCGACAACTAAAAATGTCAAGATATAAAAATATTGATTTCTAAAAGCGTAAAAGAATAAGGATCTAAATCAATAATTTTTAAAGTTGAGGACTAATTAATAAACCAAAAAGACCTAATTACTATCTAAATTAGCCTATTAAAAGGGAATTAAACCTAAAGTTTTTTTAGAAAATATTAATTATTAATAAAATTTAAAAAGAGTTGAGTAATCGATTCGAGTAATTGGGCATCTTATGCGAAAACTATACTCAAATTACTCCCTAATTAATAACTAAAGTGTCGTCCTAATTTCTAAGTCAAATTCGAATGTCAATCTAATCTAAAAACAAATTATAAAAAAACTAACTAAATAAAACTAAAATAATAAATTTAAAATAAACATTAAACATGTAAAAATAAATCATAAAAAAGTAAAGTATATATAGATTAAATTGTAATAAATTAAAAATACAAAGTCGAACTTAAAGCATAAAGAAAAAGGACCACAATGCCTAAATTGAAAATATAACATCAAAATCATGAATAAATAAAGAAAATAGAATTGATTAATGACTAAAATAAAATCAATAAAAAAACAACAACTAATTGCTAATAAACCATAACCTGAAATGATGATCAAATTCAAATAAAATGCAATAGAATGTCAAAATTGGAATAAATAAAATTCGATGACTAAAGCGTAAAATTATGCTAAAGATACAGGTACCTGAAAACAAATTTACCAAAAAAATATAAAACATGCAAAGAAAAGGGAAAATAATAGTTTTGGTCCCTTCAGGTGACCGAAATGTAAAAGCACGCTAAAATTAGAGGGACTAAACAGTTGATTCACCAAAAATTACATAGTATAAACATAAATAGGAAAATCATAAAATCGGTCCCTTCAGGTGATCATTTTCCAAAAACATGCCTAACTTAGGGGGACCTAACTACAATTTCCCCTAAAGTTTTCTATAAATGCAAACTTTTTTTTTCATTTTAGTTTAGTTTTTTTTAGATTTTAAAGAGAATGTCTCATCTCTCTCTAGAAAGTCGGCTAGTCGTCGGCCGTCGTCACTGGTGGTCGTTGGCCACCAAATTTCAAGGGTTTGTTCATCTTGACACCAAGAGTTTGGATCGAGCCATGGCTTCACCGGAAAATGTACCATTGGTGATGAATCAACGCCAAAACCTTTCGACTTCTTTGCTCACGATCTCGTCGTCGGACCGTTGGATCGCCTTGATTTCGAAGTATGTCATTCTCCTCACCACTGTGTGCATACTGACTATTTGGATGTTGGAAAGGAATCCCTGACCGCCGACGGAGCTCCGGCTGAAGGTAACCTTTCTCCTTGCTCTCTATTTTAGCTACCATTGTTGAATTTTTTGAAATATATATAAAAAAAGTGACAGATTCAAAAGAAAAAAATCTTTGGAAATGTTATTCTTTTTTCTATTTCGAATGAAAAGGTTGCAAGGAAGAAAATGGGAGAGATGAACTCAATCAGGGCCAAGAAAGAAATTAGGGGAGAGACCCCTTTTGTAATTATTCCCCCTTTTTTGAACCCCCTTCTATTTTTCTAAAAAAATCGAGCCCCCCAATATTACAATATGTTTTTGGTTTCGAATCCCCCTCCCTCCTCATTTACAAATTAATGCCTGGGCTATATACCTATTTCCGAAAAATATAATAATTGAAACTTGTTTACTTCTCTTTAGTTTCTGGAGGGATGTGGAGCTTGGTGGCGTGCTTGCAAGGCTTTGTTGGGATTGGGGTAAAGAATCGATGGTTGTTTGTTGAGGAAGAGGGCGACTACCTAGGGCTAGGTTAGACCCGGGTTGGGTCTAGTCTTGGGCCACTGGTTTGGGTTTTGGGTTTTTTGGGTCTTGGTTTGATTTTGGGTATGGTTGGCCTCTAGTTGAGTTTGGGTTATATTTGTAAAAGGGTTTGTGTTATATTTGTAAAAGGGTTTAGGTTTGATTGTAAAATAAATAAGAAAAAAATGGTGATCATATTTTTCATTACTAATCCACATATGGGTAGCGAGAAGATCGACTCTTCCAAGAACACATTTTGAAGCACAATCACAAATGGTTTTCATGATCCCACAAATGGACAGCGAAAATATTCGAGTCGTCCAATCACACATTCATATTATATATAGATTTTCAAAAAAACATTTTCAAATTCCATGCATCATTTGCAACGCATCACAGTCACATTTTCAATATATGTGTTGCATCACACACAATGTAGCACAATCCACATTACATATCACATTTCATATCAATTACAGATTTCCAATTGACATTCCATTATTCACAATCTTCCATTACATCATAGCTCATATTCAGCATGCTTAAACATGCATGCTTGCATATAACACTTGCTCCTTATGCATCATGAATCATAATTAATAAACCATGACTCACATTCTTTCAATATATTCTTAACTCATAATCGACATTCTTTCATACACATTCTCATAATGATAATTCGCTTTCAATATTCCATAAGTCATGCCACTTAATCACAAACTTTAATCTACACATCACGAATTCACACAATCAATTATCAACAGCAAGTATACCAATTTAGAATCTAAAGTTCAAAGTTCACACATATCTAAACTTTCATTAAACATTAAACAAGTTCATCATAAGTGAATGGACAACCACTCACCTTGATGGCGCAACCACACAATTCGACCCCAAACGTTAACCAAATAACCACCAAGAATTGATGAACCATTTTTCCTCCAATCATCCTCACCTTAGGCACCTTAGAAATCAATTCAACATGTCACAAAAACATCTAAAACAAAGCAAAAAAAATCTGCTTCTAAAGCAAAACAAAAATTAACCGAAAGATCGATAAATTTTACCGAAATAACTCTCCAAGCCTCTGATCTCATCGACACTACTTTTCCCCCAACAATAACTGATCAAAAGCAACTAATATCAGTATCGAAACGTATCTAGAACCCTCTCAATTGATATCAATTCACTCTAATTCATGGATTTTCAAAAAGGTCAAAATCAAGCTTGTTTTGAATAATTCCACGTCGAAATCAAATGAGATTGAAAAAATGACTTAGTATGATGATAATAATATCATCAAAAAAACCTTATTCAACCCAAGGAACCCTTAAAAAGTGATCAAGAAAGTAGCATATTAAATACCTCCAAAAATCACTTTTAATTCATAACTTCTCTTTAAAACAATTGTTCAATTAAAATCATCAATCACATTTAACCATTAATCTTTGAAGAACAAAAAGAACCAAGGAAGAAGCATTACTGTAGGTTATGTAAGGTTGTAGGAATTATAAAAATGAGCTGTCAAGAGATTCTTTAATTATTTTCTTTTTTTCAATCCCTTATTTCAAGGGATTACATCTCCTATGATTAGTATCTTTCCTAACTTAGAGTTTCCTAGTTTAGAGGCATAACTTGTCTATTTTCTACAGTCTATTTTCTACATGGTATCAGGTTAGAGCGATCAATCCGATTTCCGCTTCTCTTTAAATCAATTCATGTTCAACTCTATTTTTTTCATGGCTAATCTGGATCCCTCAGCATCCGAGATCACTTCCCAGACCAGCTGCGCCCAATCTGTTTTTTAGATTTTAGATTTTTAATTTTTAGTACAGCAGAGGCAAAATCGCCTCTGGTGTGAACATTGTAAGAAACTAGGACATATGATAGATCAATGTTGGAAGTTGCACGGAAAACCAGCCGATTGGCAGCCCACACGATCCAGGTTTCAAAAGGAGGCCCATATTACCTCTCAAGATGATTCCTCAAGCAATTTTAGCAAGAAACAGATAGAGGAGCTGCAACAGATTTTTAGCAGTATGACAGTCAAGCCTACCAATGTGACTTATACTACTACTGATGGAAATAATTCATATGCTTCTTTGGTACAATGGATAATAGACTCGGGTGCATCAGATCATATGACATGAAATATTGATCTCTTGGAGAAATATAGTGAAAGCAGATTATCAGCTTCTATTAAAATAGCAGATGACTCTCTCACTGTTACATTAAACAAAAATCTATGTTCCTAGACTTGCATGCAATTTGTTGTCAGTCAGCAAACTAATTAAAGATTCTGGTTGTAATTTTTTGTTTGGTACTGGTGGTTGCATTTTTCAGGCACAGGGCTCGAAGAGGGTGATTGGCAGTGCTAGGCTGGGCAAAGGATTGTACACCCTTGGAGGTAAAGCGTCTCATAATCATTCCTTATCCAGTGCTCTTAGGAAACCAATTTTATCTTCTGATCTCAATACCAATAAAATTATGTTATGACACTCTAGATTAGGTCATCCTAATTTTTTCTATCTTTCTAAAAAGTTACTGAACTTGTTTATAAATAAAGATCCATCTTTGTTTTCTTGTGAAATTTTTCAAATAGCCAAACACACCAGAAAACCATATATTATAGCCAAATTTGAACCAACAACACCTTTTTCCATCATCCATAGTGATATTTGGGGCCCTTCTCTTGTCAAAAGTATTTTTGGGTATAAGTGGTTTGTGTCTTTTATAGATGATTACTCTAGGACAACATGGGTATTCTTAATGAGAGAAAAGTCTGAGCTTGAGTCTCTCTTTAAAAGTTTTTATCAAAAAGTTGAAACCTAATTTAACATAAAAATTAAAATTCTAAAGAGTGACAATGGGAATGAGTATTTGAATAAAACCCTTGGGTATTTCTTTAAGGAAAAATGCATTGTTCACCTTATTTCTTGTGTCAACACACCTCAACAAAACGGGATAGCAGAAAGGAAAAATAGACATCTAATAGAGGTTACTATGTCTCTTATGTTTGCTGCTAATGCTCCTAAGTATCTTTGGGGGAAGCTCTTCTTACATCCACTTACCTCATCAATAGAATGCCAAGTAAGACTTTATATTTCAAAATTCCTACTAAGGTTCTGTTTCAGCTTTTTCCCCCTTTTAAACATTTAAACTCAAGTCTTTCTCCTCGGGTGTTTGGGTGTACAGCCTTTGTTCATATCCACAATGGAGGGAAATTATATCCTAGGTCCATAAAGTGTGTGTTCTTGGGCTATTCTTCGAGTCAGAAGGGTTACAAGTGTTACTCACCTTCCACAAAAAATACCTATGTCTCCTTTGATGTTACATTTTTTGAAAACCAACCTTATTTTTCAGGAATAGAAATTCAAGGGGAGAGTTACAAGGAATTTCAGCCTGTTCAAACAAATATTTCTTTACAGCCTACAAATATTTCTTTACAGCCTATCCTTTCTTTACCTATTAATGTCTCTTCAAAGTCGGCTAGCACTATCCCACTTCCTAGTGAGGGTGATGGGAATAACCTAAATAACTCTGATGAATTACCATCATCCTTATCTCATCACTCTAGTCCATGCAAAATACCTTCCACCACTACCAAAAATGAACTTAACAATGACCCTGAAACCATATCTCCCCAACCAAAACAACTCAGTGTTTACTCAATAAGAAGGAAAGATGTTGCTGAAGAAATCAGTCAGCCTAGCATTTGCCAAGAACCAGATTCGGATCCTATTGTAGCTAAAATAGAAGGTAATGATGGTCACCAAGAGGTTACTACTGTTGATCTTGATGACTTTCCTATTGCTATTAGGAAGAGGGTAAAAAAGTGCACTACTCGTCCCATAAATAAGTATATTGCATATGGGAAATTACAGTCTAATTTCAGGGCCTTCACTGCCAACATTAACAGTGTGAAAATCCCAAGAAATGTGACAGAAGCATTTCAATCTCCTGAGTGGAAAAAGGTTGTGGAAGAGGAGATAAAAGCGTTGCAAAAGAATAAGACATGGAGTTTGACAGATTTGCCAGAAGGGAAGAGAGTTGTTGGATGTAAGTGGATATTCATAGTCATATATCATTCGGATGGGAGTGTGGAAAAATAAAAGGCAAGATTGGTTGCGAAAGGTTTTTCTTAGTCCTATGGCATCGACTACCAGGAGACTTTTGCACTGGTTGCAAAATTGAATACCATCAGAACATTGTTATCAATAGTTGTTAACATGGACTGGAAATTGCATCAACTAGACATAAAGAATTCTTTTCTGAATGGGAACCTTGAATAAGAGGTATACATGGAGGTCCCCCTGGATTAGAAGGAAAGGTCACTAAGAAAAATGTTTTCAAGCTCAATAAATCCTTATATGGCTTAAAACAGTCTCCTAGATCTTGGTTTGATCGATTTGCTAAGGCTATGATACAGAATGGTTTCAAACAAAGCCAAGCGGAACACACATTATTCAGAAAAATTACACCAAGTGGTAAGATAACCCTCTTAATTGTCTATGTAGATGATATGATTATAACTGGCAGTGATATAGAAGAAATAGAAAAGCTAAAGATGAATCTTGCATAGGAGTTTGAAACCAAGGATTTAGGGAGTATGAGGTATTTCATGGGTATGGAAGTTGCAAGGTCCGAGGAAGGGCTGGTCATAAACCAGCGCAAGTATGTTTTGGATCTTCTTGCAGAAACTGGGATACTTGACTGCAAACCAGTTGAAACTCCAATGGAGTCAGACTTGAAATTTTGCAAGGAAAGGACTGGAAATCCAGTAAACAAGGAAACCTACCAAAGGTTAGTTGGGAAGTTGATCTACCTTTCACTGACTAGACCTGATATTGCATACTCAGTGAGAATTTTCAGCCTACATATGAGTGATCTTCGAGAAGAACATTTGGAAGCTGTTAACATAATTCTAAGGTTCTTGAAGTTTACCCTAGGAGCTGGACTTATATTTAGAAAAAATAAGACATAACAGTGAAGCTTTATACGGATGCAAGCTGGGGAGGTGAATTAACTGATAGAATGTCAGTTAGTGGCTATTATACCTACGTTTGGGGTAATTTGGTGACTTGGAGAAGTAATAAACAAACCGATGTCTCTCGAAGTAGTGTTGAGTCAGAGTTTAGAGAAATGGCTCTCGGAATATGTGAAGGAATGTGGATTAAAAGACTACTCACAAGACTGGACTTAGATGACAAGAAGAATTTTGAGATTTTTAGTGACAGTCAATCAGCTATGAGTATATCAAAAAACCCAGTGCAACATGATAGAACGAAACACATTGAGATAGACAAACATTTTATTTACGAGAAGGTCAACAATGAAGTTGCAAAACTACAGTACATTTCGACAAAGAAATAGCTGGCAGATATCTTCACCAAAGCCCTTCCACGAGTGACTTTTGATGAGATGTCATTCAAACTGGGTATATACAACATATATGCACCAGTTTGAGGGGGAGTGTAGGTTATGTAAGGTTGTAGGAATTATAGAAATGAACTGTCAAGAGATTCTATAATTATTTTTTGTTTTTCAATCCCTTATTTCAAGGGATTACATCTCTTAGGATTAGTATCTTTCCTAACTTAGAGTTTCCTAGTTTAGAGGAATAATTTGTATATAAATATGTAATATGTTTCTATCGAAAGTATGCAAGAATAAAATAACACACTTGTTTGTTTTCTACAGTCTGTTTTCTTTCTACGGTATGTTTTCCACAATTACCCTACTGGAAAATGAATCAAAGAAGAATATCAACAATGGCAACGCTAAAGAGATCAAGGAAAATCGGCAAAGAAGAAAATGAGAAGAAACAATCTTAATTGAAGAGAGAAAATCAAGAAGAAATGAGTAAAAAACAATAACAAAGGAATAAAAAATGAAGAAGAAGAGTTTCATTCATTATAGAGAACTTGAGAGAGTTTGGGAGAAAATACAAGAGTAATTGGATAAGAAAAAATGAAAGGAACGGTTAATGAAAAATTAGAAATGAAAATAAGGAAAGATTAAAAGAATGAATCTAGATGGAAAATTGGCAAAAAGGAGATGAATGATACGGTTAAGAAAGGAGGAAAAACAATCCACACAATCCTTGGTAAAATAAGCTTCATAGATTTTCGATTTGTGATCTTTTACAATTTAACCACTAAAAACACAATTTTCAATTCATTTAATTTAGTCAACTTGTAAAACCATATTATAAATTCCTAAAATTAAAGATAATTAATTCAACCCTTTCAAATCATCTTAGAAAAATTTTATCAATTAAAAATATCAATATTAATATTTTTATCGAAAATCCAAAAATCGACCCGACGACCAACCTGAAACTACCAACCCGGATTTTGAGATATTGCATGCAGATATTCACCAAAATTGCCATTAAGAGGGCGCAAATCTAACGCCACCACCGTACTAATTTTATTACCCAGTTTAATTCCCAACTCCTCTTTCATCATCCATAGTGGCAAGTTGTAAAGACGCACCCATATCTTCATCAGATCAGAGTCATGCTCTTCCACCATTTGTTAAAGACATACTCCACCAGTGAAATATTCCCCATTGGAAGTCCAAGGAGACTGACGGAGGGCCAGTTTCATGGACTGACATTGTTGAATTCAATCAAAAAAATATTTTTCCCTACCTCCTCAATGCTAATCCATATTGTGTTCCCTAAATATTATGTAAGACCCACAAAACTTTGGCACCATCAGGTTTCTTATTGAACAGATGCTTGTCCATCAAATAGTATTGAGGCCCCTCATCATACGCCCCTACAAAGTCCCCCAACTCATCTAAACCAACGTCTTCTTCCGTCGTAAATGTGAACTCTTCTAATTTTTGTAGCAAATAATCAACCATGGAAACTCGAGTGATAATGTAAAAGGAAGAGTGAAAGGTAAATGATACTAGTCAAAGGAATGTTCAGAGGTAATAATCAATGGTATACTATGATATGCAAGCACAAGGCTATATAAGGGAGCTAACCAAACCTAATTACAATTAGACTAGAAGTCTGCGGATGTAAATTCCTAAAAACAAATAGCGCACAATGTGTACTCGATTTCAAACTCTCCTGCCAATGCAGACTTGCACCGATAATATAGCAGATAGACTCCGCGTTTTTAAAAACACTAAATATCGAGCAGTAGAGTAATATACCAAAAAAATGGAAGATAATCATCAAAACAAGCTTTATTATTGTTATAAACCTAACCGACCGAACTACATATAATGTGATACAGTTCAGCATCATATTTACAATGGCTATTCCAACCTTTCAAGGGAAGAAACTTTCTAACTTTATACCTATATATGCTTATTTCATACGTTATAAGATAGTTATTTTCATATATATATATATATATATATATTATATCTATAGTTATTATGATAATAATTTATCCAATTAATATGTGAGATATAAGTTACTATAATATACTATAGTCACATTCTTATAATACACACATTATATAAGTTTATATACTTAGTTTATTTCCTTATATTATGCATGTAGGCATATTCCGCGTTTTTAAAAACACTAAATATCGAGCAGTAGAGTAATATACCAAAAAAATGGAAGATAATCATCAAAACAAGCTTTATTATTGTCATAAACCTAACCGACCGAACTACATATGATGTGATACAGTTCAGCATCATATTTACAATGGCTATTCCAACCTTTCAAGGGAAGAAACTTTCTAACTTTATACCTATATATGCTTATTTCATACGTTATAAGATAGTTATTTTCATATATATATATATATATATATATATATATATATATATATTATATCTATAGTTATTATGATAATAATTTATCCAATTAATATGTGAGATATATGTTACTATAATATACTATAGTCACATTCTTATAATACACACATTATATAAGTTTATATACTTAGTTTATTTCCTTATATTATGCATGTAGGCATATTCGGCCAACACTTGGGAGCTACATTGGAGCTAAATGGAGCATGCAACAGCAAGGAGACTCACATAGGAACGCTTAGGAGAGCATAAGGACCCATTAGTGAAAAGTTATCTGGAGGCCCGTGAGCTCATAGCTGGATTGAGCTTAATACTTGAGCTACAAGATGACCTCATTTCAGTTGGGGAGATGCATCATCATCATCACCACTTAGGACACTTCAAATATGTCCTAAGTCAAAATTTTTGAAATCGTACCTTTTCGCGAATAGTTGCTACCTCAAGAGGTACCTTTTCACAAGGAGCTGCTCTAACGTTCACCATACTACAAGTCAACTAAGGTCAGGTCACCTCCAGCTCATTCACACCCGAAGTAGCTCAAACATGAAGGGTTACCTTTCCCAAACATTGTGACCTTTCATGAATGATGCTACCCATGAACATGCCTTTTCATCTAGGACCACGTTGGTGAAAGAATTATAACCATTAGAGGCTTAAACCACCATGAGACATGAGATAGAGCTCCATGACTATTCGGCCACAACACATGCCATGCACATGAGAAGCCTTTGGAGCCAAATATGAGGAGGCACATCACCATTCAGCCAAGGAGAGAAAAATAATGCCAAAATGAACAAGCATGCACATTCGTCCAAGGGAGATATCTCCCCATCCTTAGCCGAACCATTAAGCCCCTTCATGAAGGGTTAGCCGAACCAAAACCAAGCCAAAGGGCCCATCCATTCATGTCAAGCATTATGTATTTCCATCTAGAGTCATGTACCAACCGAATACCTATGTAACCATTCGGCCAAGCCCTCTCATTTCCTATAAATAGAGAGGCTTGCCATCATTTGTACTTATCTCATCTCATATATTAAAATTACTCTTGTGAGTTAATTTCTCTTCAAAGTTCTTTGTGAACTTTATCGATTAAGCAAGTATAATTCATATACTTGTGGCGTCATACCTTCCATCCTGATTCAAAATTCCTATATTGATATCTAGTGGGTTGAAGACACTATCACCACCCCTCAAGCAAGTTTGTAAAGATAGGGATTGTGCTCTTTAGCATTGTTTAATCTTTGGCAAGTTTGAGATACAACATCACCACCATTGTCGTTTTATCATCAACCATCATCAACATCCTTCATCAAGACCATACCAACTTCATTCTTCCGCAGCCATCTCTTTTCTATCTTTATTTCATTTCTTTCTATTTCCATTACTTTTATTATTATCCACTTCTTAAGTCCACCATTAATATTATTTCTTTCTTATTTTTATTGCAGCCCAAGCTTATAATTCAAGGACATCAGTACTTGTCAATCCTAGATCGGGACACAATAAGGCTGTCTATTCTCTTCCATTAAAGCATGTATATCAGCCTACGTCAACATAGACTACCAAGCCACTATGTTGTCGTTTATCAATTATCAGCAGAATTCGTTCTCAGTGAATATAGTGTACATTAATACATGTTCGTTGTCTACGAATGTTTGATACACACAATCTATTAACATTATTAAATTCGTCAATTGCTTGAGTATTGATAAATTTCGCAACATTAAAATTGTATATTGATTGATCGCGTTCTTGCACAGCAAAACATTTGTCATAGGAATAATATAGTGTAACATGAAAATCAATCATAAGAAATAACCAAACTAAGTCACTGCATGCAATACACATCCACAACACAAATAGTATAGGCAAAACAATCAATATAAAATGAAACATATCACCAAGGAAAGAAGTGTACCTGAATATGATTTCTGGTCGAATCATGATTACCATAGAATGCCTCACCATGAACCATATCGTTCCTGGTGAATAGAAAATACGTATCATATTTTTGATGGATCACCATTATTCTCATTATATTTAGAAACAACCCACAAAAACCTCTATAAACAATATGCACCACAAGACCAAAACCTCGCATCGAACTACCATAGAGATGGAGTCGATAACTAGAGAGTCCCACCTTTATGCAATACTTGCACAAAAGGGGCCCCGATGTCTTATAAGAAAAGACAGAGAAAAGCATGTTGTAACACGACAGAAGGAAAATGATCTAACAAGAAGCAATACCATACATGCATATGGAAATAGTGTTGCCTTTGTATGAAGTCCTCCCAAAGAGCCTTTCTTGCCACTCCCAAAGTGATCATATATCGTTGAAGGACAATACATGCCCTAAGAAGGCCATAAATCCAAGCAGTAAAGCATAACCTATGACACCCTAAATGCCAGCTACCTAAGTTTAAATTATTACAACCCAATCGAAAATAAATGAACAAGAGATTAGCCTTATTACAACCCAAACGAAGATAACTATACAATAAAATAAACTTATTACATCCCAAATGAGACTCATTAATTACAGAACCGATTCGTACCTGATTGCTCATCCATAAAGTAAAACATACATACCAAAACAAATTGTCAACCAACCATCTTTCCAGTTTACAAAGTATTCCTACCAACCATCTCCGTGACCCTGTCCAGGAGTCAAGATCCAAGCCACACCTACAAATTATCTGACTAGGCTTTTGGTCTACAAAAGCAACTCCTCTATCCACACCCATGTATGATGAGCGTACCATGTTCGAAGGAAACAAATAAAAAGATCAACCTTTAACATAGGACATCGAAACTCAACATAGATCATTACTATGAACTCCAAATCCCGATTTTTGTTTACAATACACATATATAGTCTAATTTGACAAGAGTATATGTAGATAGTTTCCCAGACAATAATATCCCAGACCAAGAGGCTATACATAGTCATGTATATATTCATGGAGACACTCAGTATTATAAGATAAACAGTCCACAACACAATATACATAATTGTCCATTGTTTATAATAAAAGCATATCAATAAATATATCTGATGCAACCTATGTTGAACCATAAATCGGTGGCATGAAGGTTCATTTCCAAAATAGTGTAGGTTAGCATAAACCTCCATAGACAATGCATAAATTGAACCATTGTTTGTAATTTTACCTTGCATCAGGATATCCTTTGGATACCCCTGATGACCAAAGAGTTCCATACCAGTTATAACTAAGACAAGGTAGACTCCCAGATATAAAGAGCAAAATACCCTCTAAAAATAGCAATTCCAGCTACACCTTCATACCCAGATTGTTTTGAAGAAATAAGCAAAAATATTTGATAACCAAGCAGCCAAACTTCTAACTTACCTACTATTGCAAGGACACTATAATTCAAATCAAACCTTGCTTTATAACCTTGAATCCTATGAAAAACAGACCTTTTGATATCTTGAACGAGGACCTCCACTAATTCTTGAATGGAATCTCCTATTTTCACCCATTTTAGAACTAGATGACTTAAACACAATTTAACAAAAACATACCAAAGTAGAACAACAAAAAGCCTGATTTCCAAATTACAAATAATGATGAACAACCAATTAAATAATATTGTCAATATTTCAGGATTGAGGGCATACCTCCAAGTCTTCTTATGAACCGAACACTTAAGCTCAGTCCCTTGTAATATGTCGCAGACCATTTCCCAGTGAAGCTCTGTATTACCAATCCCTTGGAATACATATCGCTTGATCGCAAGGTTGTCTCCTGACAGCTTCCAACAGATGTTCTAGTAACCACTCTTCTACTGCATCAAGAAATCATCTCCGCTTGCCGTCATCCACAAGCACATGTGATAGATATGAATCCTTGTCCACCGCCAAAGAATCGGGTATATATGTCCTCGACTTGGGAAATGGTCTGCCACAGACATGCTATGAAAGGAATTCAAACCAATCAAGCTCACAACGAAGACAAAGAAGAATAATCCATGTTGTAATTGTTGAAACCCAAGAACGCAAAGAAATATAATAATAACACAGTGACAATCGGACTTCTAAAAATGGAAAATCGACATGCAAAGGTAAAGACAACTAGAGACAAGACGATCAGAATTCCGAGAGTGCACCCCTATATCAAAACACCACGAGAAACAAACCCAGGTGCCATACATTATAATCCAATAACACAAAGTAGTATGACAATAAAGCCATAACAGACGAGATTCCAATATAGAATTATCGACACGCAAAAGAGTATCGGAGCAGAACCGTGACGATTGATTTTCCAGGAATCGATGAAGACATACACCGCTACTTGTAGAACCCCGACTTGTAGAAAATCTCTAATTTTAAGCGACCGCAAGACTAGGACCCATTGCGTCTCCGTCCTAAAGGGGAGCCAAAGCCAAAGATTCGTCACTGATAAAAATAGTCCGTAATCCAGAAGCGAGAAGTTGTGAAGGAAGTGAGAAGATAGAGCTCTCGCTATATTTTGCTTCCAATCTTGAAGATAAGAATGAGAACGCCGCGTGCTCCCAAACAATAATGGAACTATTGTCATGGAAAGTGATTTGAAAATGCGCCGCCCTCATATCATGAAAAATAATATCTAAACAGGAACGCCAAAACACGAGTGAGACCATTAAATTCCAATTACATAAAACCTTGCATCGTAAATCCACAAGAAAGGATTTGTTGATGGCCAAAGAAATCTCACTCTCATGCCAAAAGAGAAGGTCCGTCGAAAGATAGAGACTCCAGGGAAGAAAAATGTCAGTGAGAATTTCAGAAAAAAATTCAGAGAGCATTTTCCTTTTCCATGCCAAGTCTCTATCAGTAGACATTGTATTGTCTAACTAAAAGAGATTTTAATTATTATTTTAGGGTAAACTACATAAATGATCACTTTTATTTGAGTTTTATAAAATTTTCCTCACTTAATTCAAAAAACATAATGTTTGGTCACTTTCGTTTCGTTTTAATTAAGATGTGGTCACTGAATAATATGTGGATTAAGTTTTGGGCACTTTTCTTTCATATTTTTAACTTTTTCTCACTAAATTTAAAAAACATAAGTTTTGATCCCTTACGTTATAGTTTTATTAAGTTTTGGTCACTTGAACGTTGAATGCCTTTAGTTTTATGATTTTACCCGTTAGTTAAATGGTTTAATTTTTATTTTAACCACTACTCTTTAGACAAAATATTGATTATAGGTCTTTTGTAAACTCAAATCAGTTTAGGGACAACATTTCAATTTATCTATTTTTAATAGGTTATCTTCCCAATCCAATTGTTGTTCATCTTCTTTTTGCTTCTTCTTCAGACATTTCTACTCTATTGCTCCATTTATTTTCTTTCAAGGACTCATGCTACATTTCAAGATGCAAGATTTCCAACTTCTGATAACACCACAAGTTTAATGAAAAATGAGAGGGTAGACATCTAGAGATAAAATGAAGTTGGATAATCTTAGTTATACAAACTAAAATTTAATTTCCAAAGATTGAAATCGCAGAATGTCAAATCCAACAAGGAACAAGAAGACAAATTAATGGATCCAAATAACCTGATAACCAGGTATCACTTTTAGTGGTTATTTTCCCAATAGAAAGCACCACTAGTGAAACATAATCATTGGATCCAAACAACTCGATAATTGGATTCATGAATTCATCCAATGAACTCAATCCAAAATCAATGATCTTCAACGTTGAATCTTTGTTTTGCTTAAGAACAAGCAATTTTCTAATTCAATATCCCTATAAACAATGCATGCGTTATGAATCACAGTTAACCCTTGTGGCATATTCAATCTATTGCACCACTACCATCAAACCAACCTCTGAGTACCTCATTTCCGCCAAGACTCAGTTGAACAACTCAATATTGGATCAGAGCTCTAGTACTAAGTGAATGCCGGTTTGATCTTCGTAAATGTCGTGGAGATCAATCACATTCGGATGCAACAAAATATTCTCAATGATCTTTCACATCATGCGAATCATGGGGATTTCGTTGGTCAACAACGCGTTAAAGATGGAAACTGGTATTATATTGTCAATAACATCGCCATTGAAGAAGCTCAATTTTATCGGCTCGAGTGGCGTCACCATGGTGGTATCTTTTTAGAGTTGTAATGGTGAATTCTCTACATTTTTTACGATCTTTATTAATTTTTTTATATTTTTTATTACAAATGAGAGCACACCTAATTTGACTTCAGAAAATTACAACTAATAATTAGAAGAAGACAAAGATACTATTGCAATGGAGAAGAGATGTCTGAAAAAGAAGCGAAGAGAAGATGAGAAATATTAGCGGTTAGGGTGAAAAAATATTAAAAAAATGTGTAAATTAAAATGTTGTCCCTAAACTAATTTGAATTAACAAAAGACTCATAATCGATATTTTGTCTTAAGTATATGGGTTAAAATAAAAATTAAACCATTTTACTAACAAGTCACGTCATCAAACTAATGCCAATCAACTTCCAAGTGACCAAAACTTAATAAAATGATAACATAAGTGACAAAAACTTAATAAAAAAATAATGTAAGTGACCAAACTTATATTTTTTGAATTTGGTGACCAAATCTAAATTACGTTATACTTATATTTATAGTATAACAATTTTATTTTAAATAATATTTGAATTTGTTATAAATTCTTAATTGATTATTAGGGGGAAATGAGAGATAAATGGGTAGAGTATGAAGCCACGACTTCATCTCATGATTCTATTAATGTGGACAAGATTAAAAAATAAGTTATTACTGAAGTTTTTGGTCCTAGAAGATATGGTCAAGTTCATTGTTAGAGATCATTCATTACCCTAACCAAATATTTTGGATCCAACTCATCTCAGTACATGCCATCACACTGCCAGTCTTCTCAATCATAAGTTAATCGATTAAAATAACAATTGACTCAAGTGGATGAAAAATTTGCTAAAATGAAAGTTGAAGTTGAAGCGAGATAAGTAGAGAGAGAAGTGGGATGCAGGGAGAGAAGTAACATGTCAAAAAAATATGAAGAACTTCAAAATCAACTTGAAACTATGAAACAAATGATACAACAGAATCAAGTGCAAAATTCACCATCTTAGGTTCATGCTTTGTTTATTCTAGTGAATAATGTTGAACTACATTACATTTCACTTAAATGTTTTAAGTCTTTGATTTATTCATGTTGTTAAGTATTTTTACTTAATTTGAATTGTAATTAAATTTTAAGGTTGTTGTTATTGGATATTGTTACAAGATTTGGGTAATAAAGAGTATAAAATAATACCTTGCAAATCAGTTTTGATTAGCGATGTTTTAGGATAAAAATACCACTAATGGAGTCAATGTTTATGGTTTGTCAGGACCAATGTCACTAAATACATAATAATTAGCGGCGTTTCTAACCAAAACACCGCTATTGTATCTAAATCGCTATTAAATAACCTAAATTTTTGTGATGTTTTTCCACAAAAGTTGTTATTATCGTAACAATTAGAGGCGTTTGTGGAAATAAAACACCGCTAAAAGACCAAACCTTTTGCAGCTTTTTTCACAAACGATGCTAACAGTTGCGTTGTTTTTTTAGCGGCGCTTCTTGTGGCGTTTTTTCTTGTGTCGGGAGAGTCTTTAACAACACTTTAAAACACAATTATAGGGCAAACGCCGCTATAGACTTATTTTGTTTTAGTGTATAGAATGAAATGACTAAAACTTAATCCACATATTATATACGTGAAAATAATGTAATTTTAATTTTATATATTTATCGTGTCACGTCACAAACCGTTATAGGTTTAACGTTTGTTAACTTTTAGTAACCATATATTAATTAAAACAAAATAGAAATGACCAAATATTATTTTTTTTTAATTCAGTTAGTAAAAGTTTATACAACTTGAACGAAAGAAACAAATTCTATAGTTAACGCATTAATTTAATATGTCATGTTATTCTTTTAACAACAATCAAATGATAATTAACTGTATGATATTTATTTTATAATAAAATCAAAAAGCATTTTTTTGAATGAAATCAAAAATTTAATATTTATCTTATAATTCTTAAAATTTTAATAATTAATAAAATAGTTTAAATATAATTTAATAATCATTTAAATGATTTATCTATTTACTTTGAGTAGGTATATACGGTCTTAAAACCCCAATTTTGACCGGTATATAAAAGACAAGGCAATCCGACATGAAGAATAATATTTGGTATCAGTCCTTGTATAAATTTATTCCAGCTGCTTGGTTTTATTGGCTGTGATATTGAATGAAGTAATAGTATTGTACAATGGAAGCTCATCATTTCAATAATACATGTTAACAGTCCGGTCTTCATTTCTAATAGTTTTGCTCAATCATACAACCCGACAGTACACCTCACAGACTCACAGTCACTGAAACTTGGAAATCTCTGTCTCAATCAGCCTTAACAACTACATATTTGTGTATCATAATTATATTTAAAACAAGTCAGTAATTAATTCATATTTGGGTAATTGGTGAATTCAAAATGCTTTCATTTTCAAAGACTTTTCCACTATACATAGCGATTATCAAACTATAGGTTTGAATCAGATATTGATCTGATTGATTCAACATATATAAAAATGTACCCATATATGCCTAGCATCAATTATATATATCAGATATGGCAATAATCTCTTCTTCATATCATACCAAAAAATTAAAAAAAAATATTATATGATATGAAAAAATATATTGACGTTAGAAAATACATGAACATATAATAATTTTATAATTATTAATAAAATTTATATAAATATGAGAATATATATTCATATAATAATTTTTATTTATATTAGTATTAAATTTTTAACTGAAATGGTGTCATAAGTTTAATCGGATATCAATTTAATTAAAAATTATAGATAGCTTATTTCCTTTAAATAATATTCAATATTATTATAATAGTATACTTTCTTTTTACACTTTTGTATAATTTTTAAATACAATAAAAACTATTAATTTTAAAACCAAATTTATATTTAATTAATATTTTTATATAAAATATTCATTATTTCGCCTATAATTATTTTCAAATAAATTTTTAAAATTAAAAAATTTTGTATAAAGTGTATTATTTTAATAATATCATATGTGTGATAAAATCTAATATTATATATAAGAATATATATAAGGGATCCAGAACACGTAGTACATTGAGTGTTGATTGGATGACTAGTTGACAATTAAAGGTATAAACATCTGTGCTTTTTGCAAGATGACAATTAATTGTGATTAATATTTTTTGCTTAACTTTATAGTTGTATCAAAGAAAAGACTTCTGCAGATTGTCTAGCTACACTTCTGATATGCTATTTGTCCTTTTCATATTACACCAAAAATTTCTTTAAATTATTATTTCTTCATTGATATTAGGGATGCAATTATATATATATATATATATATATATATATATAAATTATATAAATAGATTTGAATAATATTTTTGAAGTATAAATATTTAAGTTATTTAGAATTTCATTTTCTAAATTCAAAGTAATCGTGCTTAGGTGTAATTGCATTTACAATCTCTTAAATATTGTAATAAAATGATGCCAATCAAGTTAATGCTCAATCAATATTTGAATAAAAATTTTATTTATAAAAAGAATGAGTTAGAATAGAGATTTGTTCAACATAAACAAATTCGTTTATAATCTTGTCAAAAGTATGCTCATTAATTTGTTATAAACTAGTATATTAGTTTGTCTATGGTCTCATTTATTAGTTTGTTTATTTAAATTATATTTTTACTGTAAAATAAACCTAAAAGAATTTACTTGTACTCTTAGAATATAATTATTAATATTTATTTTATTAATTTTATCTAAAAATAAAAATATGTTATTTATTAATTTTAAAAAATTTTAAACGTATACTTATTCATATTGAAAGAAAATATTAAAACTAAATAAATTATAATTCTTAAAATTTCAACGGAACTATATAAATTTAAAAATTAAACATAAATAAACGTATACTCATTCATTTACGGTACTATTTACTATTTAACTTTTCATATTGTTTCCCCCTTAAGATTAATAGATTTAAATTTTAATGTGAGTTTCACCAATTTCTTGAAACAGTAGTAAGCAGTGTTTTGAAAATCGGACCGGACTGGTTTAATCAGGAATCGTTGTCTAGTCCGGTTTAACCGAGAACCGTTGTCTAGTCCGGTTCAAACTACACCGGTTGAACCACTACTAGTGAACCGGCCGGAACTGCTGAACCGTTCGAGCCGGGCCTGTTAAAAAACATTAAACCATGTGGGATTAGTTGGAATGATCATCTATGTTTCTTAGCCATGTGGGATTATTTTATTCTCATATTTTTTACTCTTTAGACTTTTGGGATGTCTTCTATGTTTCTTAGCAATGTGGGATTGTTTTTTTAAAAAAAATTAAACCAAACAATATCATTTTGTTATGATTTTTTTTAGCATCAAATTTATTTTTTAATTATAGTTATATAATTATATTTATTATTTAATATGTTTTACCTTAAATATTATGTTTTAGTTAATCTGAATCATTTTGTTTCACTTGATTTTATGGTTTTTAACTTATATATGTTATGACTTGCTTTGAATATGACTTGTGACATAAAAAATTATTTTTTATTAAATATTTTTGATAATTTTATTTAATTTTTTAAATAATTATGACATCGTCCGGTTGTTCTGCCCGATAAGACCAATTCAATCGATTGAACCAATGAACCGATAGCATGTCCGGTTCGATAATAGAACCGATTCTGAAAATCTAAGATATAATTATTATAAGTGCAGACAGTGTCACAGTCATCCTTTTGTATCCCCCATTTATTTTAAACCCCCCCCCCCCCGGTCGTCTTTGGCTTTTTGAAAGAAAGAAAAAAATATTAATTAATGAATTTATTTATCTTTCTTCCATTGTGTCTCCTTATCATCACTGCAAAATCCTCTTAATTCCCTCTCTTTTCTCCCATAACTTCCTTCTCTTCTGTCACTGAACTTGTGCAGACTGCAGGCGCTCTTCCTCTTCTTCAACTTCAACTAGGGTATTCTCTTTAAAAACACACTCTCATAACCCTAAGCCTATGGAAATTTTTCATCTTTCTGTTGCTGCATAGTGTTTCTCGTAGGGACAAAATAAACCTATTATCAGAGGCTGTACTAAGAAACTTTGAAAGAGCCTAGCCTACTCAAGGGGAATACAGGTAATACCTACACACACACACACACTTTTCTTTTGGTTAATTTTGAGAATGATCTTTTCATGCTTTTAAGGTTTTCCCACAAAGAATTTGACAAGTATATGCATATACGTAAAGCAGAAAATAGGGAGATACTTAGCTGAAATCTTGGGAATTTTTGTGCTCTTCAACGATGGGATACATGAGAAGGTTTTGTTCCAATATTGTGCCATTATTTTGACCAAAGTTTTTGCATGTTAATTTACTGTTCGTTTTTCCCTAAAAATTATTTTTTTTTGTTTTTGACTTTTGGGTTTGTTTCTTTTACGATTTATGACGAAAGGTTTCTGACACTAGTATTTAAGTTCGAAGAAAGCTGTTTGTCGGTCAGAAAAATTGTTTGAAGGAAAAACTTAGATGGAAGAGAAAGTGTTTTTTCACCCTTAAGCAACGTCTCACGAAATCTTTAAGGTACTTAACCTAGTTTTTCCTCCAACAAACCTTGAGAAAATATAATTTACAAACAAACTTTTTAAATTACAAATTAATCTACCGAGAAGGGAGTTTTAATATTTTAATCACCATTTAGAATCAAATTTTAATATTGTGAGTGAAACGAGTTAAATCATCAATAAGTCAAATATTGATAGTTGAATAAACAAACCCTTTTTTCTCGTTCATCAGAAGAAAAGAAAATGGCATCTTCAAGCTATTCAAACCCACCATGTGCAGCCTGCAAGTGTTTGAGAAGAAAATGCATGCCAGATTGCATATTTGCACCATATTTTCCACCAGACGAGCCACAAAAGTTCATCAACGTTCACAAAATATTCGGTGCAAGCAATGTCAGCAAATTGCTAAACGACGTGCCGCCCCATCAAAGGGAAGATGCAGTCAACTCTCTCGCCTATGAAGCCGAGGCAAGGATGAAAGATCCTGTTTATGGTTGCGTTGGAGCCATTTCAGTCCTTCAAAGACAAGTCATGAGACTCCAAAAGGAATTGGATGCCACCAATGCCGATATAATCCGCTATGCCTACAATGAAATACCGCCGCCGCAACCCAAGGCGGCGTCCCAGTATGGAAGGAGACCAGCCTCTGGCCATGGCGTCTCCGGTGGTGGTTCTTTTAATCAAAACTCTGAGTTTTATTATCCCTCTCAGTGGAATAACAATGACCCTAGTGGAGACGATGAGAGCGGAAATATGTGATGCTTTGTTAAATAAATAATTAATAAGCGTATCAAGATTTGATATAATGTAAAAATATTATTATTATTGTAATTAGGTTGTTGGGGGAGAGCTCCCATTTGGCTAGCTCTAGGGTTTTCTTGTTATGGAATGTGAGGAAGGGACCATGTGTCATATCATGGGTATTTTTATGATATGCAAATTATTACCCTCATGAAATATTATTATTCTGGTATTTCTTTGTGAAAAAATATATTCCTTAAAAGGTTTGATATTTAGTTTTTTGGTTAGTCAAAAGTTTAATAAAATTATGAAATAACTACAAAGTATGATGATAGAAGGATGTCGTTTAAATAAATAAAATATCTATAGTTTTATTAACAGTGCTCCAATATTACAAGAAAAGTTTAATCTCACTAATATCTCTAAATTTATTGTTTGTTACTTGGATTGAGTTTGTGTATTTACACAATCTATTTATTTTAATCTTAAAATCTAAAATGATAAATCAAATTATAGACTCTAAGTCTTAAGTTTATTCTACAGCCAAAATAGAATATGTATGACATATCATTAGAAAAAATAAGTTTTTGTAAACTAAAATTTAATAGAAAAAATAAGTTTTTGTAAACTAAAATTTACACAATCTATATATCAAATAATTTTTTATTTTTATATATTTGAAAGTTTTTAGAAAATTATGTTTATTATTAAGTATTAGTTCAATTGATAGTGATATAATTACAAAAATTCAAAAATTATAAGTTTAATTAAACTTATTGAATGATATCTATGGTAAAAAAAATGTTGGTATTACTAAAAGATTCGAATTCGAACAATTGTATCTATAGAATATAAATATCTTGTAATTGATTACAAAAATTCTAAACAGATACTATCATATAATTTATTCAAATTATTAAAAAAAGGCATTTAATTGTTGATCTTTTTAATATAAGGGTCATTTCATATTCAGTAGTATATAATATTGTATGTGTGCGTGTATGAGCGCACCAATCTCCCCTATTTTTAAACATATAAAGATGCAATAAACTTGGCCAAAAGATAACGGTTAAGCCACCAACTGCTTAAAGTGCACTGGTTTATTTGCGGACTAACAAGCGGGGCTATAAATGAGGCGATACAGATTGTGAGTAATTCGAGATTAATTTAATCAAAGTTTGATAATTACTCGATTTTAATAGATTCGAGTATGACTCAAATTCTTAACAAATCAAAACAAGCTACTTGATACTCGACTCGAAAAGATTGTGAATAACTTGAAAATATAATATATTAAGATTTTAGTTTAAAGAATAAATTATTAATAATATTAACATTTATGTGTTGATTTTTTTTTTTAAAAAAATCATTATAAGGTTTTTATGTATTTAAGGTTCAAGTTCGAGTTTGAGTTGGAGGCTTCAACCGAGTTAAGTTTAAGAATTTATTTTCATTTCAAACTTTTTCGAGCTTTTATGAGCTTCAGTTCATGATTTCGAGTTCGAGCTAAACTTAAAAATTTTAAGCTCATGAGTTTTCGAATCAAGTTTCAGTTCATAGTTTTCGAGTTAAGCCGAGTTTACCTTGACTCGGCTTCTTTTGCAGGCCTACTAACAGGATCTCTTTTCATAATTTGAGTATCTTTTTCCTAGTTTACGGCAACCATTTTCTATGCTCTCAAACGTCATATTTTACTTCATTTCCCGATGAATTCAATTTCTTTTGCAACACAATATTATTTCATTGCGTTTTACGGCAAAATCATGCAAGTTCCAAATACGTATTGGATTAGGGTATGATCATTTGAGTGTGACGTTGATGCCCGGATTAACAAGTTTAAGCAATATATCAAACTGAATAAAATAGTCTCCATTTTAAGCATATTCTACATTGGCCATTAGCTATATAGGATCTAAGTGTGAACGAGGGGAAATAATAAAAGTAAAAGATTGTTTGTTGCAATATTCTCCATATTAAATGTTAAAGCTTTTTTAAACAGCTCAAAGTTTCAACAGGTAGTAAAAGTAACACTGTATATTTGTTGACTTGCCATTTTTCTTTTCTTTTTAAATGACACATAATTGCACGGATTGCCCTCAACTCCTGTGACGAAGCAATGTGAAAACTACTCTAAAATTCCGGAACGCTGTCACAATCTGGAACAGAGACGAGGCACAGGCACCTAGCTTTGTAGGAAGAATAAAGGGGACTGTTTTCCCATGTGGAAGGTACGTGAATCACCAGAAAAATTAAATTGCATGAGAGATTTTCAAATTTTGATTAATTGATTTCCCTGGTCTTTACCATGGATCTAAATAGCCATCAACTGTCGTTGTATTGTGGTTTTAAACCCGTTCAAAGTTATTATTGCACGATCTTTATGTCACCCGTAACGTCGGTAATTGCACGAGAGATTTTCAAATTTTGATTAATTGATTTCCCTGGTCTTTACCATGGATCTAAATAGCCATCAACGGTCGTTGTATTGTGGTTTTAAACCCGTTCAAAGTTATTATTGCACGATCTTTATGTCACCCGTAACGTCGGTAATTGCGATAAATGCAAATCAATCCTGATTTAAATCATTGGTTCTTGTATATTGGAATCATCCCAAGACAGCACGAGGAAAGAGGGGGAGGTGGAATATATGAGGTCATTGATGAGAGACTGAAAGATCTTCTCTGTCTCGGGAGGGGAGGAGCAGCGCAGCGCAAAGTCGGAAGAAAAAGGTAGATGGATGATGATAATCAGGGTCCCAAAAGCTCGTCTATATCCATACATGTTTCGTTTTCAAATTAGTATTTGCAAGGGCCACCACCACTCCACCGCCCAATACGGGGAAAAAAACACAATCAAAACCCTCCACATCTCCAAAAACAAACACACCTCTATTACTCTTACCCAATGCTTTTCATTCATTGATTGATTGATTGGACTGACTTGACCTTCCTTTCCATTTCAATGCTGCAATTAGGAACGCTTCTTGCGGCTCGCTTTTTACCATTGCTTCGGCCGGTTGGATTAAGAATCGCTCACAAACACCAGCTTGATTCGAGGTAAAAATCAACAAAATCCTACATACTAACCACTATTAAGGGTATTAAGTGAGATAAGCAGCTAATGAGCATTTTAAGTTTAACTTGATCAAAATTTTATTAACATTTGATTTGATTTGACTTGATTCGAATTTAAATTAAATTTGAGAATTTAAATTAAATTTGAGAATTTAACAAGTTGAGTCAAGTAAAATCCAACATGACTCGATAAATTTGCGAGTACTCATTAACTTTTTTAATATAAATTTTTAATATGTTTATTACTCTATAAGATTTATTATGTATTTGTTAAACTTTTTTATAAGAATGGTTATAATATATTAATTTAGTGTATTTGTGGATTGTTATTTTGGTTGTAATATGTTAGTTTAGTCTATTTTGTAGATTGTTATTTTAGAGTTTAGACTTTTGGAATTATTTCACATACAATTTCGATCATATTTTTGTTAAATTTGTCAATTCATTTTTATATTAATCTATATATTACTAGATTATATATATATATATATTAAAAATAAGGTAAAAAATTCAAATAAGCTTGACTAGAGAGTTGAATCTAGCATTGTTCTACTCGTGATCGACTTATTCCATAAACAACTCCTAACACTTAATTACACACACACACACATATATATATATATATATATTCTTTATATATAATACAATACTAACTTAATTAAAGCAATAATTAAATGAAAATCGACGATTTGATTGATTTAATACTGATATAATTTTGAAAACCATACATATTACCCATTGATAGGAGAAAAATAAAGAAAAACTTTATATTTGTGTGGTTTTGAAAGTTTAGGGTAATTTGATTCCAATCCAAGGCGACAAGTCCCCGTCGGCTAGGGGTTTGTTGTCAAGGGGTCCAGCACCCGCACGTTCGTTCGTTGGACTTTGCTTTTTGTTTATCTTGTGTTTCAAAATGGGATTTGTATTTACCATCCACACACTTTTGCGTGGATAGGTGTCCACAACCCAAAAATAAATAGATAATCAACTATCTAGAATTCCATACCCCTCCCACCTCAATAATATTAATCCAATCTCTATATACTTCAATTTTAGTGTAAATTTCCATTGAGGCCACTAAATTATAGGGTTGATTCTCTTTCGAGTACTGAATAAAAAATGATCAATTACGTCACTAAATTTTTAATTTGATTTCAATTGAGACGTCAACCGTCAATTGTTAATGGAATTGATGACATGACAGTTCAAGAAATTTATATAAAAGTATATTTCATCTTTGTTAATTATGTATTTTATATATTTGGTCTTAATTTTAATTTAAAATATTTTAATAATATAATCCACAATAAAATGTGATCAAGAAATACATATAAGGTAGAGGAGACTCAAACCTAGGTCTTGTAAGTAAGGGGAAATTAAAAGCTGAAATTAACTCATTGTTTTTTACCAGTGAATATATTCTCAATTTTTACACTTAATCTCAACCTTTGATTTCCCCTAATCCAACGATCCTAAAAATGTGTCAAACTTTATAGTTTTCCTTAGTGTAAGCAGATCATGTCCCTGTTGTATATATATATATATATATATGCATATTATCTTATTGGTAAAACTTAAAAAAAATAATACTAAGATCAATAGGAATTGAATCCGAGTCTTGGAGGTAAAAGACATAATTATCTGACAAGCGTTGAAATTACCAAATAAATAAAAACTTTAATCTCAAATAAATAATGAAAACGGTATAGAGAAGTAAATGTCGACTAACAGGGTGATGTAAGGCATGAATGCCCTTGATTATGGATCTAGTGAATGAGCAAACGCCTGCAGTAAGAAAGGCTCTAAAAGATTGGTTTGGTGGTTAATGAATGGTGATAAGGGTGGGCTTGATAATGAAAGAGATGGTTGCAAGAGATGGTTATTTGTAGGGTGGTGAGGGCTAAGAAATAATGGAATGGTTGGATAATATCTTAGATAACAAGAAAGAAACTAGGCTATAAAAGAGCCTAACACCTTTCCTTATAAGTTATCTAAGGGGTGGTAACAAAAGACTTGGCCTTGTTGACTATAATGAGTCAAGAAACACAAGTATCAACGAAAAGATATAGGATCGATGCCATAAGCACCTAAGTACTTGATAATTCGGTAAAGTTCTTAAAGAACAAAACAAAAAGGAAAACCTCACAAAGATATATTAATATGAAGAAGGGGATGCCTTACAACTAGCTAAGATATT